CTTGGCTACGCGTTTCTTTCTCTTCATCTAGCGGAAGAGCTTCTGGTTGTCTATTCTCTCTGCCTCCATGGGACCTGCACCAAAACATGACATCAGTAACCCGAAGTAAACATACGAATAGAAAGCCGAAGTAAACATCAAGCTCGCCTGGACGAACTTCTCCTTAGAAGTGAAGTCTTTATAATCCAACCCGAGCTGAGCCAGTGACTGGAGCACCTTCTTGGTCTTCCCGTCTAGGATGACACCGAGGTCTTGAATGGCTATTCTCCAATCGGTGGGGAAGGGCCACCCCGTACTGCTCTGGACTACGAAGTAGTCCCGCTTCCAAGCTTGGACTTTGCTCGGGAGCTTGTGCATGAGTTTAAAACCCGGGTGGGGGGACAGGTTGTAGAATCGCCTGTGCCCGGGGAGAGCACCCAAAGCGCTCTTCTTTATGGCCAAAATGGTGCAGAGAATATCTAAATCTAGGGAGAGGGAACGGTCAAAGCAAAGAGAGATGGACCCCACCATATTTCGTATGGAGTTTGGGTGGAGTTGGTCCAGGGTAATGTTGAAGTGTACCAACACCTCAATGATCCAAGGGTGAAGAGGAAGTCGGAGCCCGRCTATCAGTTGCTCCCTGAAGATCACGATCTCGTTAGGACCGTGCTCCCATGGGAAGTTGCCGGTGGGAAGGCTATACGGATATTCCTTAGGGAGGCGGAACCTCTGTATGAGGTTCTGAAGCCTCTCCGAGGTCATTATAGAAGGGCCGAACTAATCTGGCTCCCGACTTCGGTGGGAGGCGGACGCCAGATGACCCGAAGCCACCCGAACTTCGTATGGCTGAGCAGCAGAGGAGCCACCCCGAGCCGAGGTGCCTACCTTGGGCTCATCGATGAGGCTGTCTACGCTAGACGACATAGYAGACTAGAGGGAAGAAACAAATTGAAAAAGGGAAGGAAGCTCAGGAGGACTCACCAAAAGAAACGCAACCAGACTAGGAGAACAAGACGAACTGGAAGACCCGAGCTAAGAGACCCCTGGCGCGAGCTCAAACACTGATGACAAGAACTTTGTGGCAAAGAAAATGGCCATAGCTG